GCTACAGTGAATAGTACAAAAGCACTATTCTTGAGCAGACATCCTTGCTTAAAGTTGGTGGACAAAGAGTCGACTAATCGGCTCCGTACCGTACTAACTTTTGCAAGGGTATGGGTTTGTCCTTTGTGTGCAAAAGGACAAGACAACAACAATCGTGTTAAGCAAGCTTCTTTTGATTGCTGAATGCTGGGATGACCTGGAGGTCTCATCATCATTCGGTGAAGCTAGAGCAGTCTTCACACATATGTAGACAGGTCTGTAATCACTGAATACCACTTCAGATCGCGTACTCGCCAGTCTCTAATCTTCAGTTTCAGTCTTCGACGTTCGCTGAAGGATCTTTGGTGTGAGTGTTGTCTTCTTGAAGTATTGTTTGTCTCTGATGAATTTACAATGCAAGTTCTTCAGCGATCACTGAACATACTCAGTGATGATCGCTGGAACTGAAAATACAGAGACACAAATACAACGTGAAAGGAAAAAGGGATTATCATCAAATCACTGAGAGAGAGGATCAACAGAAATCCTACGCCTTTCTAAGCAATCTTATGCTGGTATCAATGAGTGTAGCCTTATGTCAAGTACCTTACACCTCTATAAGCAGTGTAACCTTATGACTGTCAGAGTAGAATAACCTCACACGGTTATGTTGAGGACAAACTTTCAGGATTCATTCAGAATATATTTGGAAGGGATTTAGAGCAAACGGATAAGAAATTACGCATAAAAGAATAATTTTGGAACTTCAAAGTAGGTGATTTTATGACTTACCTTATTAGAATCCATTTCAGATGCCACATCTTTTCCAACCACTTCCTTGTACATTTGTAGCCTTCTCTCCTCCATTTTTAAAGCACTCTCGGCACCCTTGAGTATGTTTCCTGCAATCAACTCAGTCAATTGTAAAGTAAGAAAAAAGAATTTAACATATTTGCAACAGAATGCTGCCTTTTCCATGGTCTCTTAACCTATTTAATGTAACATAATGGCATTGGCAGTTATCAATATAGTTGGAAGGTCAGGAGAGGCAATAAAAACACCATGGCCGTATAAAACAAAGTATATCATCAGATTCAGCTGCAAGTCATCATGCACTCAGATATCAAGATTTAACAAAACTGAGCTATACAAATAGAATCACCTGCGGGTGTTTTTTTTGGTCCACCAGAATTAGATCCCTTGGAAACAGCTCCGTGTGAAGCAGTCATAGCTTCATCAACTTGTCACTGACTTTCTGCCACACCTGCTTCTTTTGCACTTTCTAATGCTGCAACTTTTGCTTCTTCATCTCTCTTCTTTTCTGCTTGCCGCTTGGCCTCCACAAGTACTTTAAGGTGATAAAGAAGAACCAAAAATGTCAAGCACGACTATCTTTCCTAGTTTTCTCCCTTCAAAATCTGGTTTGTAAAGAACTCTCTTGTAATAAAGAAAATGACATGTAAAATTAATATGCTTTTATGTACCGGTTCTGTATCTCAAGTCCCACTAAATATGCAAACAGACCACCAACTGAAAACAACAATGTGCACTCATCACTTAGCATGTTGTAATCATACTATCCTTCTATACTACCATGTGAAAGATGCATCTTGATAGAAGAAACACCTAAAGCAAGTAAAAGAGAAAGAGGATATAACATTGTTTCAAAGACCATACGAAATGCATTGTTGACGATTCACATGTATTTATTGGCATTAAATCGTGTGATTCATCAATTTCTCAAAACAGGAGAATCTAACAGTATCAAAGAAAGAAAGGAAGAAAGAAAAAGCTTAGTTAATTATGTTGAGACTTGAGACGATGGCTACTTTCATAAACCCGATACCTAAACAGAATGGGTGTTCACCCTTTTCCCATTTCTTTGCACATATACAACACATTGAATTTGTATAGAAAGGCCACACATATATGTAAATGTACTAAAAATGTAATCGACAACAATACAAGAAGCAAATTATGGCTAAATCATCCGATACTGACAGAAGAAAGCATTAAAAAAGATCAAAGATGTGAGCAAGCAAAAATTGATTATAAAGATGGTATTTTTGTTATCAAATAAAGATGATGTTAACTTACTCTATAACTTGATAAATACAAGAAATATAAGTCATTTACCTTGACAATCTTTGGATCGGCCCAAGGCTGCTTCTTTCACACTAGAGCAAATAATTCACCAACTGAAGCCAATGATCAAATGACACATCAGAATCACGTTTGACAACATAGCTCAAAGGCATTACGAAATTGAAAACTCAGTTGCAAATAAGATGGAATGGAAACAGACCAAGAAATGAAATCCAAAAACGAAATCAAAAACGATATGAAGAACTTGGTCCGATTTTGGGGGCCATTTTTGAATTCATATTTATATAATTAAACCCTATTTATATAATAACTTAAATCAACGTAATTTTTCAATCATTTTTATGAAAAAAAATATTTAAACTGATTATATAATAACATAGGATAAATCAAATAGTAAGGATATTTTTCAAATTGATGGAAGCATAAATTCAAAAATATATACAACTAAAATTACTGGAGCATGAATCGTGAATCATAAAGCATATAAGATTTCAATAACTATTGGATTGAGGCAGAAGAAGCAAAAAAAAMCCTAATCTACGATACCTATTTCACCGGTAATCATATATATGTATTCGTACAACTCTAAATCTAAACTATTAAACCCTATAATCAAAATCAAAATCTAGAAGAGACTAATCTAAGTAATCGAAATATGAAATCTAGGAAATCATAATAACAAGAGAAATTATAGAATCACTTGAGAATCTAAACAAACTCATTTAGCTTTTCAAATAAGATGAAATGGATACAGACCCAAAAATGAAATCCAAAAAGGAAATGAAGAACCTGAGCTTTGAAGAACATGTAAACCAAGTCAATACTCATAGAAATTGCTAGGGTTTTGAAGAAGATGTGGAGAAATGAAAACCTCAAACTTCTGGTTAGATGAGGTTGTCTTGGAGCCGCCCATTTGTGCAAAGGTTGCAGCAATGGAAGAAAGCAAATGGCTGACCTTACTAATTTGGAAGAAGGCGCAGAGGAGGAATCATGAAAAAGGAAGAAGACATAGAGGAGGAAGCTGGAAAAAGGAAGAAAGCCATTTTGACCTTACCCCAAACTGGTTTGGCGAGGAAGGGATTTCTGGAAATTAAATAGATGGGGAAAAAAAAGTCTGACTATTTGCTAAAAACTCAATGCATAAAAAACTTGTACCATATGCTTGATGAGTTATAATTAAGAGTTTTTTTTTTAAAATCTTGCATAAAATCATTGTAACTTGTGCTTAAATGTACTTAAGACTTTGTCTTAAATGCTTACTAGTTGTATACCCGCGCAATGCGGCGGGAGCAATGAATTTTAACGATTTTGAAGTTACACTGGTTTTATAAGATAAGATTTAACGATGATATAAGTTACACTTGGTCTTTACATATTAATACAATTTGAATAAATAAGAGTTATGGTTCCAATTACAGGCTATCAATGAAAAAATTTGTATGACAGTTTAAAATCCAACATATTTAAACGACTCCACAAATGTGTTCGATTTACACCAAGAGCAAAGAACCAAGAAACTTGAGTTTTAAGATAAACACTCAACACCAATAAAGAAAACTACAAATTTGGCAGATCATAAGCAATGAAAAGACCAAAAAGATGGGTTTTAAAATGAAATTTCAACTACTTACCCTCTTTTTTGTCCAGAAACTCAGATTAAGTTTGAATTAATATATATATATATATATATATTTCAAAAAAACCCAAGAACATATTAATTCAGAACATATTATACAGTGCAATTTGGACAGCCTAACCCCAAAATATATAGTATATATAAATAAATAACTATAAAAGTATAAATCATAAATATTAAAAATATTTTTTCACAATATATATAATATATAATAATATAATTAAGTCAAAAACTATTCAATATTGGACACATTTCGAAAGTATTAACGAGACGATTATAATGGTGTAACTTGTTAAAATAAAAATGTACTTTTTAAACATGTTTTAATTGATATACGATTATGTATATTAATTTGATAAAGGTTTAAAATGAAACATTTAAAAGTAAAGAACGTAAAATAAATTAATTAACTAATTATAGGGATATAAAGTGTAAATTTAAAATTATAATTTAAAAAAAATTGGTTCAATGTGAGAAGGTGAGTGTATATCAGGGGGTGAGTGTATGTGAGGAGGTGAAAAAGTGAAAAAGTGAAAAAGTGAGGTAGTATAGATAAGGGTATCTTGGTCATTTAGTATTTAAGAATTTTGCTAAATTTGCTTTATAAAATAGTATATATGAGTGTATGTGAGGGGGTGAGTGTATGTGAGGAGAGGATGAAGTGAAAAAGTGAAAAAGTGAAAAAGTGAGATAGTATAGATAAGGGTATCTTGGTCATTTAGTATTTTAAGACTTTAAGACTTTTGTTAAATTTGCTTTATAAGATAGTATAGATTAATATAGTATAGATAAAAACAGAAGGGAGAGAAATATTCAGGAGCCAAATAGCTAAAAAAAATCTACCTTTTGTCATGGGAACAACCAAAAGCAAACAATCATTTGTTTTTTTGCATAAGAACATAACACAAGTCCATGTATATTTAATCCAACTCATTGTTAGTGATTTTAGTGACACTGGTTTCATTTGGTGTAAGGGGTAAATATACGAGAGCAAAAGAAGATCTTTATTTAGTTATTTTATGCAAGTTAGGAGGTGCGGAACGCACACTTGTATGAGACTCCTTTTTTGTATATTTTCATATGAAGGCAGCTTGTTGGAATAGAATCGTTTTGGTTCTTGATCTGTTTTGGTTCTTAATAGTTGTTAACCTTCTTATAACCTTCTATAACTGTCTTTGGTCTTATCTAATTTCTTTATATAACCTTCATTTTTGGCTCTCAAATCTAAGGATTGATATATTCAAAAACCATCAGTAACGTAATTTAATTTCAGTGCCTAAGAAATTAGAATATTCCTTCTAGGATTATCTCATATTTAGAATTTCGTGCAATCCAAGGCTTTAAGGTTGAAATATCTTACTCGGAAAGTGATATACATGATCCAAGCAAAAATCCAAGCAATTGTGATTTCAGAAAACCACTCTATTGTTCATTTACCCCAATAGTCACTATAGATAGAAGATGGATGCTTTTTTCATTAGATGTTGTATGTATTAATTTGTTTTATGGATAAAAACGTATGTTGTTTAAAGGAGGCAAAGAGAGAGGATTAGATTATTTCCAGGGTATTGTTGGTATTATTTTGTTTGAGGTGACTTATTAGGGACAAATGAGGGGTTATAACTTATTTCATATAGCCATTTTGGCTTAATGGATTAATGATGAAGTCGTAAAGAAATGCTTTTTTATGGTCGAGCGAATAAGTCGTACAAGCCATTAAGCTCTTTAAATCGCAAGTAAACAACCCGAGTAACCTATAAACCTCAACTATGCCTACAAATCATTGTATGCATGAACCAACAAAAAACGAGAAGGGGAATGAATAAATCAAATTATAGTTTTTCACACCTTAGTGGTTTTTTGTTAGTGACTGTAGTGAAATCATCGGTTCATTTTATTTATTTCGATATGCAAGATAATTTGGGGTTGGCAGGATAGAAGGTGCGGAATGCACATTCATGTAAATTAACTAGAATTCGTGATCACTGGATGGCGCCAAATAGTGGTGTAAATGGGGCCTCACCTCTTTGCAGGGTTCTAAGGTTAGAGCAACTGGTGATGGTCCCTTGCAGGGTTTGGGGCAGTTCCCCAAAACCTTTACGGATTTTTTGAAGAGTAATGCTTTGAAAAATGAGTTAATGAATTTTCTATGTGCAATTTGAAAGCCCCTGAGTCTATTCAGAAGTTTTTGAATTTGAAATGGTTTTCACTCAAAGTTCCCGACTCTGAAGATTCAAAAGCTCTGAATCTTTCTGATCCATGTGAGCAATTTGTAACTGATGTGTAGTTAACCGACCACAAATTACTTCAACAATCATTTCCATTTAATGTAGAGATATTCTCGACATGAATTTAGGAACAATTACAATTATCTAAGTTTAAAAAGAAAAGATTTTTGCCAAAAATCGTTCCTGGACATTGAGATATTCTCGAGTTAATTCCTTGATACCCTAGCAGATATGGATCAAAATGTAACTTAAAGGAAAGCAATTTGTCATGTGAACTCAGTTTTTATCCAAACTATTTCACTCTCAGTTTCTCTACATTTTCTAAAAAAAGGTAAATTTGTGATTTTATCTCCTATTAACTCAAAATCTTTGCCTGTTTTAGATGCTAAAAGGAAAAAATATTTAGTCCGGAGAAAAAGAGAAATCATAATTCTTTTTGCCAAAAGTAGTTTTAAATAAAAGGCCTGCTCTAGATAGAAAACTTGTTGTTGAAAACAATGTTTTAATGAATAAAAGTTTAGAATCTGTTAAAGTTCCAGTTAAACATACAGTTAGTCATTCAGTTAAGCATAAATCTACTAAATGTTTGTGTGCTGATATGATTGCTTTAGTACAAAAACATTTGCATTGTGATCATTTTGGTCAAACAAGTTCAGACTGTATTATGAATTGTTTAAGTGGAATAACTATTGGAATAAAGGTATGTCCAACTCTAGAAAATATGAAACTAAGTCTGATGATACTTCTAAGACTACTCAAAGTTTGTCCTTAAAGTCAAAAGCTTTATCTAGTCAATTGTCATCTATTAATGTTAAATCTATGATGAATTGGAAACCTACACCTAAGTCTGAGGTTTCTAGTTCTAACAATCTAATTTTTTTCTTGTTCAGACATGGAGACCAAAAGCTAAACTAGTTACCTCAACATGTCCAATTACTTCAAAAGTTATTACTCTAAAGGACCCATTCAAAGACGGGTACCTAAATTTAAGTAATTAATCTTCCAGGAGAGTCAAGTGTGGTATTTAGACTCAGGATATTCAAAACACATGACTGGTTTCAAGTGCTTATTTCAAATTATAAAGAAAGACCTGGAGGAACTTGAAAGTGCCCATGTATCAAGAATAAAGACAGTAAGAACAATAGAACAAGAGTATGAACAGCCAAAGGTTTTGTTTATTGTGATAACCAGATCCTGGTTATTACCCAAGGTAATTTATACGTGAATATTTGACTAAATGATTTCATGATAGCATGACAATTTACGTGCCGGTATGTATTAAATGGATATATGGATATATATATATATATATATATGTATATATATATATATATATATATATTAATGTGATAATGCATGTGTGTGCAAGGTGTGTGCATGTGTGCATGTATAAATTCATGCAAGAAGTGGCAAAAAAGGGGGAAAAGGCCGTCCATTTGATAGGTATATATATATTTATATGATATTATATGTATGCATGTGTTGTGCATATATATATATATATTTATTTATTTATATGATTAATTTTGAGTGCAAAGGGGTGATGCATACGTGTATGTATGCATGAGTGTGATTAGGGTAAGCATGAGGTGGAAAGGTTAGCCGACCTTTCCATTTTTTTTAAGTATAAATAGGGGGGGGGGGGGCTTACCTCCATTGGCTTCCTCCTGCCTTTTGAGAATTTGAGAGTGTTTTTATAAAGAGTCATCCGGATTGCAAGAGGTATTTCAAAGAAGTTGATTGCAAGCATTTAGTTTCAAAAGCTTTAAAAGATGAGTGGTTCTAAATCTTTTTACATAAAAGCTTTCTACTGATTTTGACTTCATATTTCGTATTATTAGTTTCCTTTGAATAGAAACCTTGTTAAAAAAAAATTGCCTAAGTGTTTATCCGGACAAAGCTTGACCGGATAAGGGTGTACATCGGACAAGCCTTGTACGGGGTAATGTCCGGATTGTTTTTA